GGCCATATAAATATCATCGAAGACACCTAATGTATATGTGTAGCGATTCAATTAGAAATTGGAAGTAAGGTAGTGAGATGTAATGAGTTAAAGGATGAATTAACCTCTTTTATATTTTATTTTTGTGTTTTGTGTTGCACCAATATAAAGGACTTGAAAAGCTTTTTCAAATTCCTATGTTGATACCTATTATGCTAGTTAGACTTTTGTTTAGTCAATTTCATTATGACATGTTTAGTTTAGATTTACTTTCTGCTGCATGTTTTCTGTTTTGTTTAATAATTGTAGATGTTCCTGATAGACATTTGTGGTAGATAGAATTTCTAAATTGTTTTTCTTCCTACTTATATTTTATGTACTTAATGTTATACATGTTTAAAATCAAGTTTAGGGGGAAAAAAATTATTTTAAAACATAACTTTATTTGTCCTTACTAGCCTGTTTTTAATTCAATATCACTTCTAAAGATGACATGTGGTATGTGGTGTTATCTTTATGATACTAAACTTTTGATTTTTAGAAATGATAGAGAGAGACTTAATAAAAAAGTTAGTAAAAATGATGAAACTAAAGTTAAGATATTTAGTAGAAAATATTAGGGAAATGAGTTTACTATTTATAGTAAAAAAATTAAAATTTTTTAAAAATTAAAGATTTTTTTAGAATAATAATTTTTAAATAATTTAGATTTTATGAAAATTCTTTTTCAGAAAATGATATTAGATTTTAAGTATAGTGAAATTCAAAATCATTAAAGACCTACCGAGATATAGTAGTTCTCACCTAAAAAAGTAAAGATTAAAAAGATCCTCAAAGAAAAATAAAAAAGAAAGAAAATAAAAGAAAAAAAAAAGAAAAGTATAAAAAGGGAGGAGAAGGTTGTGGAATAAGACCTAATTAAAAATTGATTTCAATTAAATCTTTCTAAGGAAGAAAACATAAGATCAATCATATGCTTAATGTTAGAAAGCATTAGTAAAAGTGATTTTCAATATAGAATCTTTTGAAATTAATATTTTTGAAAAATTCAATGTTGGTGGAAATTTCAATTATATATGAATTAAATTGAAAATCGTTATTCCTAAATTTAATAATAAATGTTCTAATACCTTAGATATCATCTGTTTTACTAGAAATTCTTCTAAGTTGGACTATAACATCTCTAAATTAAATTTTTAGTTATCTAAAAAGTAAACTCACTACCACAGGTTAACAAATTTGATTTTTAAAGTTATAGCGATACTTTAGGACAAGACATTTAAGTATGGGGGAATTGATCCACCTAAAAATTACCTATTTTTAATATACATTTAATGTTGATTTTATGCACATTTTTTATGATATTACACTTTAAAGGAAGGTAATTTACATTTTTTTGGTTCCAGATACAAAAATTAGATTTTTGGAGAAAAAGGAGAAAAAATGGTGTAATTTGGAGTTAAAACGAACAAGGAAGAAAATTTTGACCTGATACATTTCGATATATCTTTCTATGCTTAATCTCCCTTAAATTTATCACATAATTTTGAATGAAATTATACTTCAAAGAAAGATTATTTTCATGCTTATCTTGCAGGTATAACTATTTAGAGCAAAACGGAGTTGAAACACAACGAAACAAAGTTGAAACAGAGCTAAATAAGGCAAAATGGTGAAGTTACCTATAGAGAGGTGCCTAGGCTCTCGAAACTGGCATCTAGGCTCTAGTTACAATGAGAAAACGACACCTGAATGCCAAAAACCGTCCAGGGACAGTTTTAGACGATTTTTTGTGGTTACGGGATGTCCTAGAAGCTTCTGAGCAACTTGCACACCCCAAGATGATATCAAATGAATCTAGACACTTGGAAAATATTTTAAAATGAAGAGATATGTATCTTGGAGTGAAGGGATGTGTTTTCTTAAAAAAAGAGTTGTTTGGCTTCTCTTTAAACAGGGCGGCTGACGCATCTCATGTGAGGTGATTAGTGTGTAATTTAGGCGGAGTTTTTAGGAGATTTTTAAAGAGAGTTTGGTGTGAGTTTATGAAGATGTAGATTTATCCACTTTTTGGAGAAATTGGTGAGGTATTTTGAGAGATATGAGTAAGGAAGTATGAACGGTGCATGAATCAGCAGAAGACATTGTTAGAGAGATTTTCTTTCTTTCTTTCAGCGAAAAAAGCTAAGTATTGTGTTCTTCATTATAATGTAATTGCTGTAAACACTTTCTAGTGTATTTTCATTGATTTAACAAAGGTTTTTGCTTTGTTTTATCCATACTTCATGAGTAGTTTTTCTTATTCTTTTCTTTTAATATGAAGTAGTGGCATGTGTAGGAAAATTTATTTATGAAAGAATAATTTTTATTGTCATATGATGAGTAATATCTCCTTTGCTTCATTGACCTTCATTGACATAACTTAAGTGAACTTAAGTGAAAATAAGTTATGTTAAAATTTGTTGTAAGTGAAACTATGACTTAAGAGAACGGTGATCTCACAACTAGAGTGCACTCACAATAGATTGGACGACAATGCAACTTTTAAGTAAAATTTAATGATATGTTTCTGTTAGATGCTTCTAGGCGACAAATACTTGCATAAAGTTAATAGAATGTTAAGCGTACATATACGCTCGAAAGAGGGTATGAAGACATATGTTCCTTGTCTCACATAACTTATTATATAATTCTATCAATTCTTTTACTATTTATGTCGTTATCTTCTTTTACTTTTCTTAGGAAATGAATTGGATGCATGTTTATGAATTTAGATTTGCTTAAAGTTCTCTTATTTCATAAATGTGATAGTATTTTCAACTGCTCTTCATTTATTTTGCAAACTGGCCATTTGTTTTGTTAAAACTTGTTAAGAAACTTACAGAACTGAGAGGGCTAAGATTTCTCCAACTAGTGAGTACCACATTTCACATTGGAAAGAGCTGTGGTGATCCTCCAAAGGGGAGTGCAAATAGATAGGGAGATAAGATTTGATGGACACAAAATTGATATTTCTAGGGTGACATACTAAATTATTTTATAAATTTGGTCTAGAATTGGATCTAAGAGTCACTGCTAGGTTCTACAGAGAGAACACAGTGGATAATCTAAAGGTGAGAGGCTAGAACCTACCCAACACTACTATACATGTCGAAACTAACTTTAGATTAACCAATGTTCATTATGCTCGGAAGGGGTAAGGAATATGTATTCGCGTGTTTGTCACTACGACACTATATTTTAAGCATTTCATTCCTTTACATTATCCAGGTCATGGCACGAGAAAGGAAGTCTTTAACATCTTAAAGTTCTCCAAACCAATTTATCCAGATAAGTTATCTTTATATTTAAGATTTTTATTTAGGAATATTTTTTAGAAAAATCACTTTAATCGACATTCCAAACTAAGACTTTATACTAATAAACTATAACTTATCCTAAGGGATTTCTTACCTTACTTCTCGGAGGATCAATATTGGGGTTTTAAAAAAAATCTTATATTACTTGAAACGATACGTATACTTGCGCAGTACCTCTAGTGTGTAAAGTATTTTCTAAATTTTATGACATTTCAATTTTGCACACTAATAGCTAAATATAAATTAGGTTAAGTTTTTGACCAACTTTTGGAACTTAAATTACTACATAATTGCAGAACATGTCAATAATCCGTAGGTTAGTGCCACTAGATAGGGAGATAAGTTTGATGAGCATAGAATTGGTGTTTTTAAGGTGACAGACTAGATTCTTGTCAAATTGGTCAAAAGTTTGGAACCTTAGGACCGGTTAGTCCTATAATGACAGAACAGTGGGTAATCTGGAAGTGAGAGGCTAGAACCTATCCAACATAACTCGAGAGAATTTGGAACTTTACTTTAGATTAGCTAATGTTCTTTATGCACTCTTGAGATGGTAAAAAATAAGATTGCTTCTATTTAACATGAAATTATATTTTAATTTTTAAACATTTGATTCCTTCTATTTAACATGAAATTATATTTTTATTTTTAAACATTTGATTCCTATACTGATTATGATCTCTTTAAAAGAGTGAAGAACTTTTCACATAAATTGAACTCTTTTTCATAAAACTAGTTTAGAAACACTTTATTTTTCTTAAACTTTGAATCTGATTTTGTAGGAATTTAATAGCTTCTTTTTACACATAAACTTGCTACCTTATTCTTAGATAATTGTTTGCAGTTTGAATTAAATTTTCTAAGTCAATTAAAAGAGTTTCACCTTCCCCATGGGATCAGTACTAAACTTTTTAAAGAAAATCCTATATTACTTGAAACGATACATATACTTGCATAATACCCATAGTCTATAAACTATTAATGAAATTGTAAATCCTTTAGCATATCATTTATACACACTAGCCACTAAATATAAATCGGGTCAAGTTTTTGACGATATTTTGGAAAGTAAATAATTGTGTAATTGCAAGACAGGTCGTTAGTCTAAGTGTGTGATAGTTTTTGGCTCGGAGAAATGTTCATTCGGTCGGCTGACGATTTGTCCGATTGAAATGTCATAGCTAGTTTCATCGCGATCCGTTGGATCTCTTCAAGATTCGTAAAATTCACATCTTTAATTTACAGATCCAAATTTTATTTTATAAAGAATTCAATTTGAACAACACATGCAAATTTATTTTTGTCTACTGGGTTTTTAATAAATTATCAATATAATAATTTATGCCAATGGCTTATTATTTTTTATTTGTAATAGCCTAATTGAAAAAAAAAGTCAAAATCAAATATTTTATTTTATCCCCAAAAAATATGAACATATATTTTATTAGAATCTTGATAATTTAATAATGATAAAATTAATATATAAATTTATTTATTTATTAACACAGGCATTTTTCCTAAATTGATAATTTTATTTTTTTCCGCAAAAATTAGACGGCCACCTTTGTTGGATAAAATATTACATGACCGCTCCGAGTCTAATAATGGAGCTCCACGTGTTATAAGATTCCAGCGGCTCAGTTGGCACTAGCGCCCCATCATTGAACTCAGAAACTGATCTAATATTCTGTCGAGCCGGGAGCGAGGCGAGGAGGGCAAGAGAAACATGGCTGCTAAAAGCTTCGGCAGTGCCAGTGTCGAAGGAAGCGCGAAGGCAACGGTGGAGGATCAGATCTGCCAGGCGGTTCAATCCACTTCGAATCTTCTACGCCTCATGGAAGAATCTTCCCCTTCGCAGGTGCCGAATTACAAACCCTCATTCCCCCAATACTTTAATCCTCTTCTCAATTCAATTACATCCCACTGTCCTAGATTTTCAAGATATTTTCTGATAATTGAAATTGGACCATCAATATGTGACATCTTTTTGAATCTTTGTTAACGCAGACATAAAGTTTTATCAATTATGTTGCAACGCAGGGGAGACCTTTCTTTTGTTGGTCAATTTGGTTGTTAGAGTTTCCTTTGTTAGGAAGTGAAGAAGGTAGAAGGCGGTTTTTTCTAATGATGGGTTTGGGGTGGAACTTAATTTTCTTTGAGGATGGCCTAACACTTCATTGGGAAAATGACTAAATTGGCTAAACTATTAAGGTTAATGTCAAAATTCAAGGCGGGCAATTGTCAAACTTGGGCATAATGTAGATTCCCCCTCTCCCGCCAAGTGATGTGGAAGACTTTGAAGAAAAAAATTGGCGACTCATTGCAAAAATTATGGCGTGCTTGAGTTTGTTACCTTTATGGACTTTCCTTATGCGGAAGACATATTACATTGATGTGATGCTACGATAGAACTAAAACAACCAAACAGCCCAAAAAACAACTGGGTAGTTATTCGAAGTCACTTAGGCAACATTCTTTCCTCCAATATTTTTTAATTTGAGCATCTGGGCAAGCTTATTTACATCCACATTAGTTTTAATGAGATGCATAAATTGACTGCAAAGTTATACTAAACTGGAATTAACTAAGTTGATTTTTTGAACAGGCCACCCTTTAATTATTGAACTTCAACATTTCTCTTCCTACTCCTTTTTATTCATCTCTACATCTTTCTTAGTAACATTAACTTAGAGAGACTCTAAGCTTATGATAAGATGGCGATTTTTGTTCTAGGCCAACATAGAGCTTCTATCAAAATTTCATTGCTTTGTAGGATGCCAACTTGGTATTATTGCCTCGATGAATTTTATCATTTTATTCTTCAGTGCTGTTTCAAAGATCTCTTTAATCCTTGATTGCCTTTTGACTTTTGCTAACATTTTCTTTGTGATAGCATAATATTTTTTGTGGGTAAAACCAGCTTAGTTGGTAAAGATCTTTGAAATTGCTGCTAAGGCCATGGGATTGAATCAGTACTACATATTTGAATCCTTGCAGTCAAACTTTACCCTAAAAATTCAATCGTTACAGTATGTTTAATGTTATCTGAGCTTTTAATACTTAGGTGCTTTGATGTGATATATGATGCATGCATACTTCCTCTATATGGAGATGACTACGATTTTCTCTTGGCCTGCAGCCATGCCTCAAATTCTTCATCTACTCTTCTTCATTGTATAGTAGTAAGATGCTCATATACTACCTAGATTATGGATGTGCCAACAAAATTTCTACTAAGTTGGTCTTCTTTCCACTATTGAAAAAGGTCAACTCTTTGCTAAAGTTTGACCTCTTGAAATGGTTACCTTCTTTGTGATTTTTTGTTTAATTTTTTTCTCATCTTTAATTGACAAAAGCGTGAGAGCTATCTAAACTTGTAGGCTTCCTTTTTTATCTATTTATTCAACAAAATGTAATCGACATATGTCTCCGCTACTAGGAAAAGAGCTGAGCAAACCTCATTTATCATTCATCAAAATCATCGAACTTCTTAATTAATTGGCAATAGTTTGGACTTCATTCAAGTATTTTTTTATGGAAGTACAACAAACGAGAAAAGGTTTTTGATATAAAATATATTATTTATGTAGCATTTAAATATTTTCCAACTCTTCCAAATTGATCAAAGAAATGTCTCATTAGACACGTAATGCAACATAATATCATATAATTATTGTTGGTGCAATAATTACTTGTTTGATAACGCTTATTCACTCATTCTTCAAACATGTTAATCGCCTTGGCTTTAATGTCTTGATAGATGCATTTAGATCTTTGCAGCATAAGATATCTTCCATTTGCTTTCGAAGTGGTCTAATTCTTTATTTTTTAACTAACTCTTTTGCTTTTGAATTCCTTAGTAACGTTTCATGCCCTTGCTACAATTTTTTTTATTAGGTTTCTTCCTATAAATTTGTCAAGCAACACATGCATAAACCTCAATATGGTTTATAAATAATAATCATATCACACTCCACCATATTATGTTGGCAATACAAACACTTCCGCTGAACAAATTGGGATTTATGATGAATTTCAACTTTTATCAAACTTATTTATCATAGTTCCTCTAGAGAGCTTATAGTTATTACTTCATTACCCCTGCATGCATCTTGTTTTGATTATATTTGTACTATTTGTAGTTCACTTGCATGATTTATTTTCTGATATTAAAAAAATTAAATTTTATGCATTTTGTTTTGATTATATTTGTACTAAGTTAATTGTTGCCGAGATTAGAATGATTAGGTGGATGAGCGGCTTTACACTTAGAGACAAAATGCGAAATGAATTTATATGTGATAGGGTTGGTTTAGCTCCAGTGTAGGATAAAATTAGAGAAATTCAGCTTACATTGTTTGGTTACATTAAACGTCGACTATCTTATGATCCGATTATGAGAGTAGATGTTTTAGATTGGACTTATGTTAAGAAAGGCAAAGGTAGACCTAGGAAGACTTGGGCATATTGTATAAAAAATGATCTTAATTTATTAGAACTAAATGAAAATATTGCACTAAATAGGATGCAATGGAGAAAAAAAGATTCATGTAGCCGACCCCACATAGTGGGATTAAGGTTTTGTTGTTGTTGTTATGCATAATAGTTTTTTTTTGTGGCAATCAGCCTAATATTTGGGTAATAATGAAGATTTTTTTTTTAGTTATATCTGTCATATATGCTTGATGCATTCTATTTTCATTTGATCACCTCTTATTTTATTTTTAAAATAATCGTGTTATTGCATTTCCATTTGTTTTGTTTGCCAAAATTTATGTTAATTCTATTTTCTATGTTGAGGTTTGTTACTTTATTAAAGCACTTTGATGCCCTTGGGCTTTTTATAAGTATATCTTTGATGGCGGACTTTAGCATTCTTACTAATGGTGCTTGTTCCTCAGACATCCACCAGCATATGATTTTTAGTGTCTCTATATAATTTCTTAAGGAGAGTTCTTTATATACTAGTAGAGTTGAGGCCCTTACTTGAGTAGTAATTACTGTGGCAAAGTGTGAATCTGCACTAAGAGGAATTATTTCTTTATATCATAATATATTCTTCTAGTTATGTTTTGTTTTATTCATATTTTCTTTTTTTTATTCTTTCTTATTTTGAAGGATTCCTATTTTGTTTTTTTTCATTATTATATATATGTAGCGAAATGTAATATATTAGGTGAGATAAGAAATAAAATTTTTATAGAATTCTACATAGTCAGAGCATTCTCTTCCCTTGTGGGTTTGCCCTAAGAAAGCTGGGGCCGTCTGTTCCATTGGAACAGTTCACGAAATACCTCATCTTCGAGTTATAGAGTCAAGATTTTCAGCTGTTCGTCTCTGCAATGAAGGTTTGCACCTCATGTTTGATTTCCACAAAGCCAAAGGTCATGTGGTCGCCGCATGATTATCTCTTTCTCGTGTGCTCCTTGCATTCAAATCCTTATGTTTGAACGCTCCATTTTATTTTTGTAGGTCGACTCGTTGTCTCATCCTCTCACGACGATGCTGCTACTCTGGTGTAAGACTATCATCTTTCAAATTAATCTAAACCTTCTGAGCATGTGACCAAGTTCTGGATGTGAAAAGTGTTAAATAAGCAAGGGTTATCACATTATAGACTGATGCGGGCAAAGAAGTGAGTTCATGAAACTAATATTAGGATATGATCTTGGAATATAGATAATATCACAAGTAAATTAATATAATTAGTAGATGTTAAAATTTATAGGAAGATAAGTATCTTATGCAATCAAGAAACTAAATGAGTTAGAGAAAATGTTAAGAAGATTAATACCTTATATTTTAAACTTTGACATTCAGGTAGTAATCAAATTAGAATTGGTGTAGTTGTAATTATATATTATAGTTTGAAATATAATGTTATAAAAATTAGTAAAACTAGAGATAGAATTATAATTCTAATGATTTTTGTCGATACCGAGATTCCTAATGCTATAATTCCTATGCTCCTCACATGAGTTTAGATATAGGTTGAAAAAAAATATTAGGATGGTTTAGAAGAATTAATTCAAATCATAAATTTTAAAGAAAGAATTTTTATGGGAGATTTTTATTTACACGTTGGCAAAGTGGTAGAAGATTTTAGAAATGGTGATTGAGTAATATTTCTTACTCCATTTTTTTTCTCCCTTGGTCTTTGTCACTGCCTCTTCTATTTATATTAAATTTTTCCGACCTTCCTAAGTGGAGGCAATGAACTATCTTTTTTGTTGGCTTTATTTTTGGGAAATGGTGGAATGGGATATGCTCGAGCTTATCCCTCCTTTCCGCATCTTGATCAGATATCACTTTATTTCATTAAACTGAAGTGCGCATGAATGAAACTTGCATTTAATGATCATGAATGGATTTTGTATTTGTTAAATTCATATGTTAATGCTAATAAATCTTGATGGTCCACTCAATTATTCGTGATGTTTGGCACATGACAATAGATTCCTACCTTTAAGTTTGAGAAATAAAGATTTCTCAAATAATATTGTATCTTTTTTTTTTCAGGAACACCTATTGAAGCTTCCTAAGAATCTCCTGGCCAAAGTTCCCGCTGTTAAGAATACCGGACAGGTATGTAAAATTAACAATCTGTTATCCGAAGCATGTTTTGAACGAGCGTTGAATACTCGGTATGTATGTTGCAATAATATAATTTTTTGAAATGTTGCTCTACTTTTAGGTATTGGAGCAGTTACCACGGCTTATTTCTTCCTTAGATGCTTACATGGAAAGCAGTTTACAAAAGTAAATTTCTGATTTCACTTTGCGTTTCTTGATATGTTTAAACATTGATACTTACGAAATAACTGAACTATCATGGACGGAGTTAAAATCACCCCTCTCTTGGTGACATACAACAAAACATGCTGAAAGAAGGCTATTGAATCCAAAGTTGTTCCTGAAAAGAAACTAAAACTTTGTTAGAGAAATGAATCAAACCCAAAAAGTGAGGAGAAAGTGAGAAGGGGCGGGAGAAGTTGAGTCCATTGAATTTCTTATATTATTGGTCTATTAGGAACATGGTCAAGCAACCTTTGAACAAGGAATAACAAGTAGAATTGAGCTACAAAGAAACAATTTAAAGAGAAAGAGAGAGAATTGGTGGAGAATGCTATTGAAATTTTGTCAGCTTTGCATATGTGATTTGAATGCTCGATTTTACTAGTGCTCCTCTATTTATTTTCGAGGATTAAGATTGTCGTTACATAGTAGAATTACATAAAGAAGGCATAGAATAAAGTTGGTGTTGGTAGCTAGTCATGTGAATGAATTAGAAGGACAGTTAGTTGGTAGTTTGGAGAACTTAAGAGATTTTTAAAGTGAGAGCCAGGAGCTTTGAAAAAAATTTTTATTACTCTAGCGAGATGATGAGTTATGTGGGCTGAATAACCTAAATTATTGATCTATTTTGTGACTGTTAAATAAGCTTACTAACCTAGTATTGAGGATTGATTTAGAGCTAACTTTTGAACTACTTATTTGTGATTCATAGGCATTGAGCGAGTTTAAACTTGTCGAGTCTCAATTTATAAGTCATTCAAGTTATTTCTCAATCACTAATTTCTTGAACTCAATTCCGGTTCTCATAATGATTTGAACCTAAGCTAGATGAATGTGTAAGTCAGTTCCCTATTCTTTTATCCATTTTATGAAGCCACAAGGACTATAAAAATTTAATGTTGAATCCGAATCCGTCTGGGACACATGCCTAAGGAATAATGCGCTAGATGAGAAAGAGAGCGAGAGAAAGATAGTGCAATAACACTGTAATGAATAGTAAGTTTTCGCCCTTTTTTATTATTGAGGCAACCCATTATTTTTAGTATTAGTTTGATAAATATTTACATATTGTACTTCTAGGGTACGTAGATACGGCGGGGATACTTTAGTCCATGCGAAATAACTAATTATGAATCTTGTGAGTGCGAACGGGCGGCTGCTAGACCGAGTGGTTACTGGACTAGGTTGGCAAGTGATTTCTTTGCCCAGACAAACGTGATTTTTATGGGTCTTATTGGGGTGACATGCCTTTCGTTTCACATTTTTTTTTACCCTTCAATGGTGTGTCACTCCCCTCATATGCATGGGTGGTTTGGTGTGTTTTGATGTTTTTGGGCTGTCTTTGATAGGCTCTGATGGGTCACGCTTCCCCTTCCTCCTTCCTCTGGGTGTCCTCATAATCCACACCAGCTCATTTTTGATGTACATATTAAAGTTCATTAATTTTCTCTCTTTTGATAGCGTTGACTACAATAAGGATAAGGAAATTTAATGTAAGTGAATCTCTCAACAACAACTATTTAATGCTATAAATAAACACCACTCCCTAAATTTCTAAGCCCACGATCATCAAGTACAAAACCATGAGATGTGGTTTCATTGTTTTCGATTTGTTTTTGCTTTCTGCATCTTTTTGTCTTTGCCCATAGTTTCGTGATGGAAAAGGGGTTTGACTTCGAATTGCAACCTACCAATAAGGCCAAGGTGTTGACTGCTCTTGGGAGCAGTTCGCGTTGTCCTTCGGATGAAACTTCTTAAAGGAAGCCGGTTAAAAGACAAGAATCGAAGGAAGAAATAGGGATGAGGGAATCATCGGATTTGATCCGCGAAACATTGAGATCTCCTTTCATGATTGACGACGGGTCGGGGATTACAGTTTCAGGCCCATCGGAGCAAGTTCCCTCGACGACTTACCTCCCGCGGATTCTCTGGAGTGTTCATCTTTTCTCCGATGACGAACAAAACGATAGAGGAAATCCTGCATCTTGTGAGAAGCTATCAGTGAGAGATGCGACGTGGGAGATAGGATTTGGTCTGAGGTGAATTGGATTTTGGGTAAGATTATTTTTCCTCCATTCTTTCTTTAATACTGGAGGCGTTTTAATGCTCTTTCTTCCCGCAGAAAGGGATCTTTGCGCAGTGCGTCTTTCAAGGGTTGTTGGGAGTGACGATCCGATCGCTAGGATAGCTTTGTCTTCTGGTGGTCTAGCTGCCAGTGAAAGAGATGTTGTTAGTCATCTCGTTGGAGTTGGCGTGACCCGAGACAAAGTTCTTGAGGATTTACAGATGTCTTCCGGGACTTCCGCGCGCTTACTGTTGGACATGAGGTTGACTCCGACCTGCCAGGATCATGATTTGCAAGCTTGGCTGGAAGCGATGAGGAGAGAAGTGACTGATCTCTGTCGTGAGCTCACAGAGCTCCAAGAGGACGCTTTTGTCATGAGAGTTAGTTTCGAGGGTGACCGGGCGTCTTAACTTAGGTTTGGAGGTCGGACTTTGTATATGAGGCTTGTCAGGAAAAGTCTAGAGCTGTTTGAGGTTCCACTTGTAAAATATCTTCTTTCCAATTGAATCTTTATGTAATTATGATTCTTGCGCAAATAAGATTATTTATTTATATTAATCTTGATATTTGTGTTTGATGTGACACTCCTCCCAATTCTTGCACACAACATTTCATTTCCTGTTAGATTTTTATATATGGGTATCGAGGGTCCCATGTATGTGTCTTCAGGGTTTCCTTTGGTGTCTTCAGTTTGTTATTGACTTTCCTCTCATTATTGCTTCATCAGTCATTTATATGGCTCTGAGAAGACCTCCTGTCATTTTTGGTCAAGTAATTTCAATCCAGCATTCCTTGCTATCGCCTTCAAACGTTGCCATTACTGGAGGCATTTCAATCCACATTGTTTCATCTTAGTTGCTCATTTTGTTTATAAAAGAACCCTCCTAATGTAATTTTGATGTTCCAAACACACTTGTGCGGTTCTTTTGCGATCAGAATCATTTAAACAACTTTGGCAAACAATCAAAATAGTTGATGCTCAAATCATGCACGTCATGCGTGCAACATATCGTTTTCACCATTCTTGATCATTTTAATTGTGAAAGGTTCCTTTTTACATAATTTTGACGCTCATGATGCATCGGCGTAGCCTGATTTATGATCGGATGTGGGTGACTAATCCGACTTCTTCTATGTAACATTCCAAGATTGTAACATGTCTCCATGAATAAATAAGAGTTCAAATTTTTGTTGGAAATTTCATTATAATATGATAATTCAATGCAACCATGTTAAATTACTCAGAAAAAAGTAGCTATTGAGGATATTACAAAGTCGTTAGATTTTTTATTATAGTGAAGTTGACTATTATAATATACAGAAGGCTGCTCTCTTACCAAGTAGTTAGTAGCACGATTTGGCATTTCATCTCATTGTACTCACCAAAGAATCTATAAAGGGGCTTAATAGTATACAACCTTGAATAATGAAAATTCATCTTATTAAATCACCTTTAAATATAATGTTTACAAAATTCTATGTGCCCCATCAACTTCATACTATTTTGATATTTGGTGATGAGGGCAGCATTGACGATAGTTTTGTATGGATTCTCAGTCAGCAACTAATCGACATCAATGAAAGTGATAGGCATCTCAGAGGATGATGACAAGTTTGAGGTTACTTTAGCCTCTATCGATTGTTGTGTTTTGTGGCTTGCTCGTCTTCATATTTCAACCCTAACTTTGGTTGAATTACAAGTACTATTTTTGTAATGTGGATCATAGGTGTTTAGGCCGGCTTGTTCTCTTCATTGTGGGCCAACATGAATGAAATTTTTAAGCTTGCAAACACAAATGAATTTTCAACTAGGATTTGGTTGCGGTGATAAATCCTTGGTTGCATGACCAAGTTTTTGTGAGAGATGTAACATGTGGTCAATTACATGAAAATGACACTGTGCTTTAGCAATGGTCGAGGAAATATTTCTTGTAATGGTTGGTGTCTATGATTTCAACCATCGATACTTGAAGACGAGTGTAATTTTAGTATCATTAGTGTTTAGGTTTTCATACCCTTTTCTCACTTTGTGACGTTGTACCCTTTATCATGCTTTTAGTGTTGTGACTATTTGGGCGATCTATGATGATGTTAGATAAACTTGTTCATTTGATTTTGGGGATTTTCTTATGAATCTTTTGTGGGTTTAGAATGAGAAGGCTTAAAGGTTGATCTCACACAGTTGGATACTTTTGCATTAATGTGCCTGTTGGCCAAATCTAGAAATTTACCTTAGATTTTTATTGTTCAAAGTAAATATATAGCAAAAAAATATCTTCTTAAAGGCCCCATGCATTTTCTTCCTAAGGAATGCATTCCAAGTGTAACATCTCATGCTAAAACTAAATGCTTAAATCCACTAATAAAATGTTCAAGGGACTCTCAAATAGTAAAATGTGAGCGGGACTCTCTCAACTCTTGCATTATGTCCAAGAGACTATAGGAGCTTTTTCAACGGCTTTTGGGCTTAAGGTCGGTAAAAGAGATGGTGCTTCCCAGAGTTTTGGCATGAGAACCACCTTACTCGTGCCTCCCTAAAATAGTAAAGAACAAGTGGTAGTTAATGGTGTTGCTCATAGTGTGAAGAGAAATTGTATTCAAACTGAACAATATAATTTTGTGTATGCCTTCCTTTATAAGATTGAAGAACTAACATCCTAATTCTTGGTGATTGCTAAGTCTTCAGTATATGTGTAAAGAAAGTATATGTTGGCTAAGCTCAACTTTTTTCAAGATGGCAAGAGAAGTGGTGAGTCTTGAAAGTAATCTCTTTAGAATATTGAGATCCATTAACTTGAAAGCTAGAGCAACAACTCTTGGAGTTGGGATGCATCATTGACTAGGAGAAACTAAAAAGTTTGATTCTCAAGTGAAAGGGAGGAAGCAGAGCAACTTATGG